CAGCACTTTGTGAACCTCCATGTGCAGATTTCGTGGCAGGCACAGCATCTGTGGAGCTGGAAGCTGAGAACTGGCGACTTTGTAGTACAACTTTAGTACGCGGAGTATTTGGGGAGCTGGAAGATGAGAACTGGCGACACTGTAGTACAACTTTAAGCGGAGTATCTGGGGAGCTGGAAGATGAGAACTGGCGACTTTGTAGTACAACTTTAGTACGCGGAGCAATCTGGGGAGCTGGAAGATGAGAACTGGCGTCTTTGTAGTACAACTTCTTATGCGGAGTATCTGGGGAGCTGGAAGCTGGGGAGCTGGAAGATGAGAACTGGCGACTTTGTAGTGCAACTTTTTAGTACGCGGAGCAATCTGGGGAGCTGGAAGCTGAGAACTGGCGACTTTGTAGTACAACTTTAGTGCGCGGAGCAAGCCGTGGAGCTGGAAGATGAGAACTGGCGACTTTGTAGCACAACTTTAGTACGCGGAGCAAGCCGTGGAGCTGGAAGCTGAGAACTGGTGACTTTGCAGTACAACTTTAGTACGCGGAGCAAGCCGTGGAGCTGGAAGCTGAGAACTGGTGACTTTGTAGTACAACTTTAGTACGCGGTGTATCTGGGGAGCTGGAAGATGAGAACTGGCGACTTTCTAGTACAACTTTAGTACGCGGAGCAATCTGTGGAGCTGGAAGCTGAGAACTGGCGACTTTGGTCGGTTCCAACTTGTTTTGTCAAAGAACATCGCAGCTCGGCGAATCAGCCTGCCACATGCCCATTTCCTATAGGCTTATTCTTTTGGAAACTTCCGCTGCCGGCTTGCCCGGGAACTACTTGTATAATATATATATATATATACGCAAATATGTATATATATATATATGTTATTTGTGTGTCTACTCCGCAGTCAGAATGCATGGCTCGGAATTTGCTATTGTGCCATCTACTGGGCATCGAGACAATGGGCAAATCTATCCAAATTTCTCCAGTACATGGCGCAACATGACCTCTGATTCTTTAAGATCTTGAGACCCAATTGAGCCATGTACTGGCCATTGTATGCTTGAATGACGTTGGTTCCACTCAACAGCTGGACCGTGTGCACACGTCGTTTTCACGGCCCGGATGGACCATTCGGACCATTTTTGCACGGCACCGTTAGGTGGAGATGTTCAATACCTTCCATGGCCAGTGGGCGTGGCTCCCGGGCGCTGCAAATCGATTTCACAAAGAAAACACCTGGGGAATGTGTATTAGTGGGACGCCCAAGTAACAACCTCTCCGCAGAAAGGGGTGAGTAGCGTCTCCCTGGTCTCCCTATTCCAACAACTAATGTGATCCCAATCTTTCTTGGCATTCCTTATAGCCGACCTGCCGAACAACCCATGAATACCACAGAATTCCTGGGATGTGCCTCTTGAGAGTCCGGAATTGCAGGTGCTGGTCCAAAAGATCGAAAGATCGACCGACGGAAACCAAAAACCACTTGTAGTGGGTAGTATTGCTTTTCACTTGCAACCAGTGGGAGGGTTGGTTTTGAAGCATTTCCTAAACACTTTTTTGCCTGGTAGCAATGCCAGGGGGAAGCAAACATGTGTTTGTTTTGTCCTTGGCAGCTTTGGGAGGCAGTTCAATTTTTTTTCATAAGAATCAAGTGTTTGAGGGGGCCCTACAGGGCATTGAAATTGTAACGTTGCATGGCAAGTGTCCCTGTTCCTTTAGAAGTTTATGTAAAGAACTACAGTGATCGTCCCAAGAACCAATTAACTACAGATTGCATGGGGTGTTCTCCCAGTTGGACACATACTTACGTATACATGTTATTCTTCTTTGTGCACCCTTGGACACCAACAAAATAATGTAATGTTCCATGAGTGTCTATGAATGATAGTTCCATGTTTCCAGGTCCCATTCCTAAAATCAACATCAACAGGACATCAAACATGTCGTCCAACTTTGTGGTTTTTGGGCTCTCGTCCAACAAGGGTCTCCCCCTTCATGAGAGATGAGGGATGTGCTTGCGCATGGTGATCAGTAGGTTAACCATGCCTTTTTCGTCCCAAGGACATCAACCAACTGGAGACTCCTTTGTAATCCACCCAACCAAATCAAGCAACTCCTGAAACCATCCAACTGGCTCCGGCAGAAATCCAGGTGCCGGCGCCGGCCATGCCCAAGCGCCGTGCCGGCAGCGCTGCGGCGCTGCTGGCCGACGGCCGCATGATGATCATCGGCGGGCAGGGCGCCCAAGAGAAGGCGGAGGAGAAGACACCGGAGGCTCTGGAGGAAACAAAGAAAGGGTGTGGAATGGAACAAGATGTTTGTTGCTGATTTGCCATTTAGTTGCTTGGAGGTCGGATGATCATGTGCACGATGTTCTCGCGTGGGCAGGATGCATGTCAGATGCAGGTAGGTTGGTAAGGTTTTGGACGTGTTTGATTAAACATTTAGTCTAGTTGTTAAACAGTTTTTTTTGGTGATAGTGATTTGTGATTGCCCAAGTCCAAGACCTCCAACAGGGCCCGGCTCCACAGTTCAGCAAGTCAACGGTTTCACAGCAGAAATTAGTTGGTGCCCATTGGTCTTCCTTACTTTGACGGCAAAGGATGTTCACTTTCATGCAGGCATCGAAACCTTTTGAAGCCCCCTCCTCAAAATGGCGGTGAGCCAATCACGCGCCACCTTTTGCGCATCTCCGAAGGCATTCCAAGCTACTAGTATATAGCTCCTGGCATTTCTGCTAGTAACAAGAAACTACTAGTAACAAGGGCATTACTACTAGTAGCAAGAAGCTAGTAGGTTGGAGGCCATCGCTACTAGGGTGGAGGCCATGGCTACTAGGTTGGAGGCCATCGCTACTGGGGTGGAGGCCATCAGTACTAGGAACAAGAAGCTATTTGTAACAAGGGCATTGCTACTAGTAACAAGAAGCTAGTAGAAACAAGTGCATCGCTACTAGTAACAAGTGCCTTACTAGTAGTAGCGAGAAGCTAGTAGGAACAAGTGCATCGCTACTAGTAACAAGTGCCTTACTAGTA